TACTGATTTGCAATATAATGTCTTTGAACAAATATGAAACATAATTAATCAAAACAGCAGCATAAAACATGTTACATAATGTAACAATAGAAATATCTAAGAGAAGTTGATATCCATTCATTTAAAAGCACAAGAATACAGAAATTGTAAAACAGCTCTAAAATTGAAAATCCCAAATACAATTGGGAAATCTTTTACACTGTAATTCCTTTTCTTTCTTTCTCTTCAGGTCTCAAAATACCCATTGGCTCACCATCACATTTGCCTTCTAAAATTTCTTATATCCCTCACAAGTCATGAAGACTGCAGCAGAGAGTCAGATCAAAATTGAAAGTTGAAATGCCTTGTTTGAAATCTCCACACATTCCAGCTTCACACAAGTAAAGGCATTGAAAAAAAATGTCACAGGACAACATCAGAAAGTTGATGAACAATACACCTATTTCCTACAAGATTATTATCTTACAAACACTTTTGGCTACACAAGACTGGAACTTTACAATCGCATTGAGAATAGCCACTAGATCCCACTTGGAGAAAAAGAGTTTATGATTAGTGGACTACATTTTTTTGGTTGGTCAAAATGGTATACCATAAGAGACCACAAGAGGGCACCCTCACTTTAGGGAACATTCATGATCGGAACTGGATAAGCATACAAAGCATTCCTCCAATTTAAGAGTTGTTGCATTTTTTTCTTACTTTTTGTGTGGTTAGTAAATTTAAAAAAGAATATACTGTCAGTTTTCTAATTAGAGAGCTGGAGTGCTGAACTCTGAATTCTCCCCGTTGAAACTGAATCTGATGGGTGAGTATAAGGAGTATTTTTGGATCCTGTACTTGGTTCTCAATCAATCCCAAATCAAACTTATTAAATAAGATATTATTCCAACAATATTCTTTCTAGGTATCATTTTTTTGTTAGAAATATTTAAATCACAACTTGCCTAATGTCAGTGTACTAAAGAAGTGTAAGGAAGGAGGGAGTGTGTGAGCAATTTTTCTCTTTTGAGAATTTTTTATATAACTTCTATTCCACTTTATTATTAAAAGCAATCTCAAAAGAGAGGGGAGATTTCCCACTTTAAAGCATGTTTAATTAAACTCACTGAAAAACCGACTGAAACTTAATATCCCAATTTTCTTTTTCCCCCCACTGAAAATTCATGAGAAAGGATGCTGCTTTTTCTCGACACTGCTACAGAATTTCAGCAATAGGATCTTGGGAGCCAGAAAGTTTGCTAAAAAAAAAAAAAAGGTTTCAGTGACTGCCTGAGGTGTATATTCTTCCAGTTCTAAAGCAGGTTACGCCAATCTTGCTTTACTTGACTTTGTGTGTGTGTGTGTGTGTGTGTGCGTGCACACACGTGGCTCAATAGGGTTGACTTTTGGCAACTGCAGACAACTCCCTGCAGTTTTGTTGTCGAGATGTTAGAAGTAGTTTGCCATTGCCTGCTTCCTCGAGCTGCAAGAGAGTGACTGGCCAAGGGCACCCAATTGGCTTCATGACTAAAGTGAGACTAGAACTCATCATACCCTGGTTTCTAGCCTAATGCTTAAGCCAGTGTTTCTCAACCTTGGAGACTTGAAGTCCTGTGGACTTCAAGTCTCCAAGGTTGAGAAACACTGGCTTAATCACTACACAAAACTCCTAAGGTCTCCTTATAAATTTAATGGGCCACAATGCCAAAGACTGAACTACAACCTGTACCAACAAAATGCTTAGGGAAATTAAGTGTCAAAGGATTTCTCTTTCTAAAGATTATGAGTGAAAGCAATGGCAGAACAGCCCACCGGTAAAACAAAGTCCTTCTTGTTGCCAAAAAGATGCTCCCCTCTCTTCCTCTCCAATGGAACCATTGCTTCTCTCCTCAGCACCAGTGCTTGGATGCATTTGTGCAGTTTCTCTAGATTGGTTAAAGACCTAGTGGCAGTATTTACACAAGCTGTGGTTCTCTGTGTTGTTCTTCGTACCTTACTGATTTGGACCAATTTAGATTTTGGTCAGTTTATGATTCAGTGAACGAATTCAGAAAATTGGCTAAATCCTTGGAATGAGATATCCAGGAGCAGTGAGACGGAGACTGTACTGATGGCATCTCAGTGCAAAACTCAGGAAAACATCTCGGGTTTTCCTATAAATACTCAATAGCACAAGGCATAAAATGGAGCCTTCTGGGACACAACAGGTCAAATGTAAAATGTAAAAATTTATTGATACATATTATCTTGCCCAAGGCAGGATACTATAGTATTAGAAGAGCCACATAACAATCCAGTGTGCTTTGAGTGAGAGTGTGGTTATTGAACAAAATTATTCAATAGGTTTCATGGTTAAGTGAAATCTGACCTCCTGATTCCTAAAATCTAGACCTTGCATATACTTCTTGAGACAAAACTAATGGGGCTATTCTATAGCAGTGTTTACAACTTAAGGAGAAAAAGTTGATGGTACAGTGAAAATGCAACTAGTAGTTAATTACTTGACAACTATGTGTGATCCAGCACTGTGAATTTTCTCACAGAATCCAGGTCAAATCTCTTGCCAACAAGAATCCATTATAAAAGAGGATTGCAGCCATCAGAGTTGAATTGAGACCCCTCATAAAATTGAGGACTGAAGCTTCACTGAAGTCTACGAAAGGTATAAGCAGGCTACGGACCCCCAACCCTTCATGTGACTCACCACCTGGTTGCCCAACTGCTGATTCCAGTTATTTGTAAAAATCATTGCTGTGGGAGTTTAGAAGCTTTGATGATTTAGAGCTATTGTTAGTGGGTGTGAATTGTGGCTCACTGTCACCAGCACAAAAGGTAGAACAAGAGTTATTCCTTCTGAACTCAGATCAAGAGAGAAGGGGTGGTAGAGAGAGAGAGAAAAAATCATGACCTTCAATAAGAACATCTAGTCTTACCTTTGAGTGGTTCAAGAATTGTCTTTCGGTTCACACAATAACCAACACATTCAACTGATGTTATCTCCTAAGAAGTATCACTACAACTTAGTGAACAAATCCTTCAAAAGCAGGCTACTTTTCCAATTATCATCGGTACCATCAGCCCTCAACTGTTTCACGTACAGTATCCAGTTGCAAAGAAATAGTAATTTAAATTAGTGTGACTGGGGCATAAAATCTCTTGTTTTTCATCTTTCAAGAATCTCTTGGTTAACTTTGAGAAGATGCATTTTACAAGTAACTCAAAGTACCTTTCAGTGTTTTTGCCAAACCAAGAAGCATACACCTGTCAAGTCTCTAAGTCAGGTGTATCCAATCCACAGCCTGCAAGCCACATGAGACAACTAGTAAAGTGGCCCCACAAGTTTGTAAACTTTTATCATTATGTGATTTATATACATTTATTATATAATATATTGTATATGTGGCCCAAGACAATTCCTCTTCACTCAATGCAGCTCAGGCAAGCCAAAACACTGCACACTCATTCTCTTAAGCTTTCCTTTCTTTGCACTTGCTTTTTTCAAAATCCTTTACTCAAAGTCAGCAAGCAGCTTTTAGTTGATAATCCCTGCCTCTTTCTCTATTTATCATTAAATTATCATAAGTTATCACAAAACATTAAATTAAATACAAAGAAATTCTCTAGGAGTCTCTAAAGTAAAAAGGCTGGACATCATAAAAACAGAATGGCAGGATATTGAAAAGAGAATTAGTCCAATCTTATGCTAAAATAGTCCAAGCTAAAATGGAAACTAGGGAGGGGGTCTCAACTCAATGAAATAAGCTGGTTTTAGTCCATACAGCAATGAAGGCAGTTTTAAGGCATATTACAGGTTTTACCTTTAAAAAAATCATAGTTCTATGTTTGTCTTTCTTGAGAGGGGGAACCAGCACTCAGATAATTTACATATTTTTAATTAACAAATGAGTATGTTTGTCAGAGAATTTAGGAAAACTAATCTAAAGGATAGTTGTTCTATCCCTGTTTAACAATCAGAGAAAAATACATTTACTGACTGCCTTGTACAGTGAATGTTTGAAGTTAGGACAGTAATTAACTTTGCAACTAATCCTTGCAAGTCAAGAAAGCAAAGGAAAGTTGAAATAAGGTCATTTCACTTGGTGATTGCTTAACAACTGAATTGCCAGTCCCAATTGTGATTGCTAAAAGAGGACTAGCTGTAAATTTCAGCCATTTTTCTTGATACTAAAAATTTACCTAAGCAGACAAGTAAAAACCTATCTTAAATGTTTTCATTTAATTTAATCTTTCTCTTTGACCTCAAGGAAATTCTAGACAGAATTTCCAACAGGTTCCAACATCTGATACTGCATCAGTCTTTATGAATGTGTACTCTGCAAATACAGAAATCTGTTTCAATAATATTATTACTATTTGAATATATTCCTTAAAACAGAACATGTTATGGTAATTAATAAAAAAATGAATTATGTAGTGCAAATAATGAATCACCTTTTCATGCAACCCTCTGCCTAGTTTCAAGCATCTGAAAATTATCAGATTTCTAGCAACCTCCAGGAAAGCAAACTTGGTGACAAAAAAGGAAGCTCTGTCCTTCAGCCCCAGTAAATTTAAAATTTTTAAATTTGCACCCCATCTTTATTCTGTAGAAATCAAGATGATGTACATTAAGCTCCTGCCTATTTTTCTTACAACAGCCCTATGAGGTGGAGTAGGTTGAGAGTGCAATGAACTCTGCAATGTATTCAGTCTTCTGAAATGGTCTTTCCCATAGATCACCAAAATACTGTAAGGATAACCCTGCAATTCATGTCTTGAAAATTAGTTAAATTTTAGAATAGAATAGAATAGAATAGAGTTGGAAGGGACCTTGGAAGTCTTCTAATCCAACCCCCTGCTTAGGCAGGAAACCCTACACCATTTCAGACAAATGGTTATCCAACATCATCTTTAAAACTTTCAGTGTTGGGGCATTCACAACTTCTGGAGGCAAGTTGTTCCAATGATTAATTGTTCTAACTGTCAGGAAATTTCTCCTTAGTTCTAAGTTGCCTCTAAATTTTGTACATTTCCTGTTCCTGTTTAAAGTAGACATTAATTGGTTTTTTTAATGTGCAAAAATAATTTACAATCAAAGTTTCTCATTTTTGGAATTGATAACTGAATGAGTTGATTTGTTCATAGTTTTTTCCTCTCACTGAAATTTTCAAAACTAATAAAACACTTTAAAAATCCTGGGATTTTCACTGCCAATGGGGGCAAACAATAAACTGCTCACCAAGTCCATTGCTTTGCAAATATCCCTCAAGGAAAACAAGCAAAGGATATACAGTATATGTTTGAAAATCTCATGCAAGTCCCCATATCTCCCTGAAGCTAATTGGGGCTACTTCTTTTCTTGCCTTTACCAGTCTCTCTCATTTGGCTCCCGGTAAGGCAACTCCAGATGAGCAAACACATCCTTCTCAGTAGGTGTGGACAGGACAATCCCAGATCCAATTTTGAGGCCATCTGATCCTCGCACTACACCACTGCAGAGGGCATGCTCTGACAGACTCATGCCTTTCGTCTTGGCCAGAGCTCGCATGGAGCGATTGAAGTGGGCTGAGCCTGTGAAGTACAACAAAGCACAGGCAAACTCTCTGTAGGGCACCACAATGATGTCGAGGCGCCTGTGGTGCCTGTCTCGGCCTGGCAAACGGCAGACTCCGAGGTACTTCTGCTGGCTTTCATTGTCTTCCTGATTCACCAAGTCATCCGTGAGAAAGCCTGAGTGGAAAGCACAATGCATGAGACAAATACTGTAATATTATTGCAAAGGACTGAGAAGTACCATATTTTTCAGAGTATAAGATACATCTTCCCCCCCCCCAAAAAAGAGGGGGAAAATTTGGGTGCGTCTTATACACTGAATGAAGCCCCGCCCTCACTGGCCCCCACCCTTTGGCCTCTGCCTCCCAGCAATTTACCTCCTTGCAGAACATGGGGGAAATGGGGCTTGCAGAGGCGACAATAGGCTATGGCAATCCCTGCAGCCTGAAACAGCTGATCATTGGGAGGCCCCAACTGAAACTGAAATTGAAGGTGAAACTGTTTGCTGCAAGGAGGCAAATTGCTGGGAGGCAGAGGCAGATTTTATTTTTCTTCTAATCAGGCTAAACTGAAACAAGCTGTTTGCTATTTGCTGTAAGGAGGTAAGTCCATAACTATAAATGCCTACAGAATGTTCACATTATTACTTATTTTTTAAAGCCTGCTTTATTATTGTTCTAGACAACACAATGAATAAATGCTTGATCCGAAAAGGCCCATCTTCTTTTAAATAGCGGAGAATTAGGTATACTTCCAGAAAGCCACATCAATTTTAACAGCATCTGTACAAGTATAGTCTGAAATGTAACACCACAGTGTATATTATCTGTACTGTTTGCTGTTTGCTGCAAGGAGGCAAATCATTGGGAGGCAGAGGCAGATTTTTTCTCCCTTGTTGTATAAGACGCTAGGTGCGTCTTATACTTTGGAGCATCTTATACTCTGAAAAATATGGTTAAGTTGACACTAGGAACTACCCTCTTACTGATATCAGTCTCTGGTCCTGCCAGATCAATGTAAGTGGAAGGAACATTCCTGGAAGACAGGACAACACCTGGTCTGCCTTTTCATGATAATTTGCTATTAACTAAAAGCAAAAGAAAATGA